ATCTAATCAAAATTGCGCAAGTTACGCCTGTCGATCTTCTTTCGAAAAAAAGTTCATTTTTTTTGCACACCACTGTACATAACTTATTATTCTCTTCTCTACTAGTCTCGCTCCAGTGTCCCTAACTGTAATTATAAGTATATATTTACGGTTTAAAATCAAGTATCATCGACCACGGAAGTTTTGTTTTATCTCTATAGAAACAATAGATTAAACAGAATATTTGTTGACTTGTATTGGACCAAAGGTAATCGATGCAAATTATACAAGAAAACAATAATATTCCTAGGTCGATTTGTCTAAGTTGCAATTGTTTTATGTAGATTTTTATCTGTGCGTTTGAGGACAACAGCGGATTAATTAGTATCGCATTATTGATCCCATAAAAGATCTTGTTCTGTTAGTCTGATGCAGAGCATTTTACTTGTCACTGCGGACAATGACAATACGTACATTTCACGTAAATATTCTGTCATTCGGAAGACGTTCAATTGACTATTGCTCCAAATACTTCACGAGTTGTAGATCTGCAATTGTTTGCAGAATAGAAACTCATCCGCCGATTTCCGTGTGGGAGCACAGATTATACCATGATCAACGAAAGACTAGAAGACCAAACGATGATGACTGACGAAGAAGATGTGTGCTAGTTAAAGTGATCACGGAAGGCAGTATTCTGCCAATTAGGACTAATGCATAAGATTACAACTGAATGCAATTCCAAAACGCTGCTTGAAAAAGAGCTTTGGTATAATCGTTAAGAGTGAAGATTTGGACCGATCTTGGTATTGGATTAAGTCTTGGTAGGAGTTAGCCGATGGTTGTGAAAAGTACGAGTCGAATATTCATAGAAATAATATGTGTTGCTTTTTTTTTCGTCTCCTTTTCATAGAGAACTCAAGACAATCTGTGCCGCGTCGACTTTGTCCAACGATAGAGATTTATTATAGTTCCTTGTATTAATACCGACTACATGTGTCACCTTACCGAAGATCGACGATAAAATCAACGATTGTCCATTTTGTCGGGGATGAATGCGCGATAAATGTAATAGCAGCCAGGGATACCTATGAGTTAATGCAGCAAGATATGCAGCGGTTATCTAAAATAGAGCAACAACGGGTTACCGGTCACGAACCACTGGACACTCCACCTTGTCTTCTCCGTCTCCAGTCTCTCTTGCTTTCCTTCCAGTTGCTGGCTGAACTGATTTCATTATAGACGGGTAATAACTCAATTACTTATGGTTTATATAATTTCACACTCTTATGCATAATATTGAATTTTATTTGTTTCTCCAACGCGTCCGCTTGTCGTGTATTCTC